AAACAGGGAGACACTGTGACCTCCATAGGCAACTTGGCATAGAAGAAATTCACTTTTAAGCTAAAGTGGAAAAAGCAAGGTGTACTCTTGATAAGGCCAGGCCTTTTCTATGGGAAGAGCCCACTAAACAGGTGGGGGAAAAAAAAACAAAAACAAAAAAACACACACACACACACACACACATACGTTTTTACTATTTCATTCTAGCTAAAGGGACCAGCAGCAGCACATATTAGACGGTGTTCAGCTGCCAGGGTTTTTCTTCCCTAACTTTGGCTCAAAGCAAGATGAGCTTGTGACTGTATTTATTCCTATCTTCTCCTGAGGAACAGCTTGCGTAGACAAGACCTGAATTTTGAATACTAATTTCTGAGCCTCTTTGGTGAGAAGAGTTTGCACTAAGTACCTTTTGCAAACCAAGTATTCAAGAACATGCACAAAACCAAAGTCGTTTACCGAGCAAGAACCAGATTTATTGTGCAATTTCAACACACAGGCAGCAGAAGAGGCTGGTTGGCTTATTCGAGTATTTTAAAGACTAGTCATTTATTACTATTTATGGTGGACTAACCATTTCCCTTAGAAGTCTGATCTACCGTTGACTTGCTCTCCCACATAATCAAGTGTTAGATCTTAGCATTTCCTTCAGGGCACGAAATCTCCCCAAACTTCAATAGTTGGTTCTTGGAGTCCTGTGACACCCTCCCACTTCATTCTTGCTGTTTCACTGCAGACAAGCTCTTCACAGACATCTTCCTTCTAGAAGTCTTTGTTCCTTTTCTTATAGAAAATGTCTGGAGACTAATGAAAAATCCCAAATAGATTCAGAGTGTTTCCTTTGCCACATGCTAAATGTAGTCTCTCTGTAGCATGATTTAATAAGAGTCAGATTTAATACAGAGCACTAAAAGCTCTCATTTCTGCAGGACCCATCTCTTTAATCAGGTGATAACCAATATTTGCTTGGTATCCATAAACTTTCTTCTTCCCTATATGCAATTCTTAACCAATCACCAATATTTAGGAAACACAACCATATCGTTGTTTCAATGCAGTTAAATAAAAAACTTAAGAGTAAAGTCATTAAGACACTAAAATTAAGCTTAATGCCATAAACAAGATTTTACAGGTCAGGAAAACCTAGTAGTTTATACATGTAAACATTGCTTACCCTTTCTTCACCCTTGCAAAGTCAAATGCCATTTGTCTGTAAGAAAATGCTTTTTCATTCAAGTATCTGCTATAACGCCGTATAAAGGTGGACATGTCATAACCTGCAAAAAAACAAATAAAGTTACATGATTTACATTAATTGCAACGATTGTTTGGAGGTTCTTCAACAAAGGATAACATGCAGTCAGCACACCCCAGGACTGTGAGATCTCTATGACACTACAGAATTACATACGTTACATACAGAATAGACATAACAAATCATCTTCCAACTTCTAAAGCAAAAGCAACACCAAAATAATCTACCACAACTTTCCACTCTCAACAGATTCATCCTATGCACTAATGGCAGGATTCTTGTGCAAACCTACTAGTGACTCCTACACAGCTATGATGACATTAACTGATGGCCAAACTGGTTACATCTCCGTTCACATGAAAAAATGTCACTTTTAGCAGTTTTCACTTAACTGGTACCTGGCTTGCAGGACAAAGAATAATTTTAACCGAAACACTCCTACGCTTTAGGTCAGTCCCTCCAAGTCTTATATGGATCCTCGAAATCTCCCTGACTAGGTTTACTGGAATCAAGACAGAATGATTGTATTTTTAGAGATCATTGCCTTCTACAGTTTGTTACATCAGAAATCTTGAGGCATGAGGTTTTGTACAGGCAGCCTCAAACTGCAGCAACCTTAGTTCAAGGCAATAAAACTTTTAAATACCAGTATTATTACAGTCTCTTCCTCAGGCATTTCTTTTGTGTTTTCTTCTTCTAAGTTACAGAATTCTGTGCAAAAAAGCAACTGATCCTCCTCTTCAGTATGGGCTCCTTCTGTTACCTTCATTAAAGTTGGTATCTCAGTTGCATTTTTGCACAGTATCTCTGAATATTAGCATCTCTATCAACTCAAGCTTACCAGTACAGTCTCTGACACCTCATCATCTATGATACACAGACGTGTTATCTATTAAAAGGCAAATTAAGTTTTAAAAAGTGGCAAAAAAAACACAAAAGCAAGTAGTTAACAAATTTCACAGCTGCCAAATGCCAGTAGCTTTGAACACACACAGCACAATAAATACAGGCTTAATATTTGCTTGGTTTTGTTCCTGTGCTGTGTTACTGTTTTTAAGAGATGCTTCAGTCTCTTGGGTGCTGTGCAGTAACAGGGCATCACTTTGATCTTGCCCATCATTGTAGCATTCATGCATTTTGCAGTCAACAAATATTCTCAAACAGCTGTAGAATTATAAGTTTCCTTTATTTTCTGACAGAAAGCTACCACGGAACAAGCTTCCCCTGCATTAAGTGAAGCATTAAGGGAGTTTGTGGGTAATTCCAGAATCAGACTGGAAAAAGCAGACTTTGTAAGCTTTAAAGCTTCCAAAATCAGTAGCCAAATCAAAATTGGTTAATTTTTTTTTTCTTCTTCTAATTAAGTACTTAAAGATAATTCTCTGGAGAAAAAAAAAAAAAGAAGAAGAAGAAAAAAACAGTATTCCCAGGTAACTCAATTACCATTTAAGACTGAATGAAGACTGAAGAGTCTTTACTGGAGAGTTTTCCGTTTCATTCATAAATGTAATTTACATTATTTGCTCCTTCATTCAGAAGAATCAATGCTAATTAGCAATAGTATCTCATTCAAATTCTTGTTACAATAATAGACATGAGTAAACCTACCATGAGATCCACTTTTGTCCAGAAAATTGCTGAGGTTGAACAACGTGTTTCTAGATGCCAGGTACTGAATGAATCTCTGCAACATAAAGTTATTTTCTTATCACTGGCTGGCACCTGCAAACTTTGTAGCAAAACTCCTTAGCTTACCAGTATAACTCCAGCATACAGACACAAAAATCCAGGCTTTTATCTTAGCCTCCTGTGGCTTCCTCAAAATCATTTTCGGCTCTTCATATTCATTATGTTTCACTTGAACCTCTACTAAACATCCTATCATATACACAGAAATGAATTCCGTGCAAAGTACAACGTACACTGTTGAACAAGCAGTTAGAAGAGCTAATTTGGAACGGGATTTAAGGAAGCAAAACATTTATCTCTTTGCAAAGCTGCATTTCCACACTGCTCCCAGACTCTGCCTCTGGCAGCCCTCAGATTCAGGTAAACTCTGGGCATACTTCAATAATGAGTAGGTCTCATATCAGTACTGGGCCAGAATAAGCAGGAAAAGCAAATCAGAAAGTTGGTTGAAAACTTGGAACAGAAAAGTTACCCGGGAGTAACAACTTACGTTGCAGTATCAGAAAAAGTCATAGCATGAAAACATTTGCTATATTGCCAGGGAGAAAAAGCTCTACAGGAATTTTATTTTATACGGACACACCAGTGTACCTGGGGCAAGGGCTAGGAAAACATAACTGAAAAGATGTGCGCTGAATTTTTAAGTCTAGAAGAGTTTCTCTTCAGCAGTCACTCTCACCCTTTGCTGCCCTGTCCTGCAGGTTCAGAGAGGTACCTTTGCACTGTTGTTTTTCACCCTGGAGCTCGCTAAGAGCCAACGTGGCCTCACGAGAAAGTTGCTGACACTCACCTCGTTGCCACCTCGCTAAGCCCCAACGTGGCCTCACGAGAAAAGTTGCTGACACTCACCTCGTTGCCATGAACCATTAGGTGATGCGTGGTCACTAAGGCTTTGAACACAACCACCCAGCTACTGTTTGTTGCTCGCTCAAAAAGGGTATCAGCCATCTGAGGAATATTCACATTTGTTTCATTAGTTGCTTGGATCAAGTCTATAAGAAAGACAGAAGGAAGGCGTTAGGCACCACAAGGAAGACGAAGAAGGTTGCAGCATGGCCAAGCCCTCTGCCTACCTGTCTGCAGAGTGCAACTATGCTAATTAAAAAGCTCAGTGTTTAAGTTCTACTTAATGAAAAATAATCTTTGAAGCTATATGGGTACATGCTAACAGTAGTATGAGTTTGTCTAGTTTTCCCAGCAATACTGACTTTCTAACAGTTCTGGCCAAGCTGTGCCCCATTCCAGACACTGCCAGGGTATGCAACATCCCAGGGAATTACAGCTAGTGGATTTTCAAGTTGAGTGCAACAGTTACCCTTCTCTGGGTTAGACTAATAAGTATTACTGAATTATTCATTTATAGGTAAATATTCATGTATGTGGAATACAGCTGTACAGCAAAATAGGTATCACCAGAAACAAATACTCCAGTCATCTCACAGCTAGCATTTCTTCAACATGCTGTGGCACCTCTGCAGGTCCCTGCAGGTCTAGCCAGCAGCAGAGCTCTCAGGCACGCGCAAAGACCACTTCAAAGCGAGAAACACAGCAGATGCTCGTTTAGACTGAAGAACAAGAGTCCTTTACCAACAACTGCACCTTGTGCGGGAAGAATAATATATTTGACTTTTTGGAGAAAGGGAATGAGAAGAAAATAAGGCTTAATATACCATATATCTACAAGCTGTAGATGTGCACAGGAAAGTGCACAAAACAAACAGGCAAGGGCTTCATCAGCAGCAGGACAGCAGCAGGCTTCCCACTAGCTTCTCCTCCCCACATCTATGGGGGACCTTCAACTTGCTGAAGTTACATACACGACAAACCCTAGTTGTCTGGGAACAACTTTATCCAAGCTCCTTTTTCAGCCTCAGCTGGAACCACACGCTGCAGCCGTGTGACTACACTCAGCGCAGCACCAGGCAGCCCCCGCGAGTCCTCGGGAGAAGATTTCATGCGACACAGCACAGAACACAGACCTAATCACAGGGCTGAGGGTTAACCTTTGAAGACATATGTAAGAAAAGTTAAAAATTAAGAAGTTTAACTAGAAGAGTGATCTCTATTTCTGTTACAGATGAAACCACTTGTCTTTCACTTTCCCTGAGATGGCAGTATCTGAAGGGGGAGCGTAAGGAGGATGGGGCCAGGCTCTCCTCAGTGGCGCCTAGTGCTAGGATAACAGGTAATGGGCACACACTGAAACCCGGGCAGCTCTGTCTGAAGATGAGGAGACACTTCTTTACTCTTCCACTAAGCAGGGGAACAGGTTGTCCAGAAACCCTGTGGAATCTCTGCCCCTGGAGATATTCAAAAGCTGCCCAGGCAGTGTGCTTGAGCTGGGGACACCACTTGAGCTGGGGCTTGCACCAGAGGAGCTCCAGACGTCCCCTCCAGCCTCAACTGGTCTGTGATTCTGATTCAAGCTATGATCACCGTCCTTCATATTTCTGTAAAGGCAGACAAATACATGTATGCTTTTAATTCTGTGATGTGATTAGTGCATTTTATATAGCGCAGTTAGTAAAAGCCTAGAAGCATGTCACAGGTGGCTTCCTCATGTAGCCCACTCAGAAGGCTTATTTCAGACTACAACATTCGCCCTTATGACAAGAAAACATGGATCAAACCTGCCAGCTTTCAGGCCTGAGTTTCAGCATTTCACCTCATTATTCAAGAGGGGTGGCACAAATCATGTGTTTTATTTGCAGGTTTTCAGCTCATGAAAGGCCAGAGGCACTACTCAGCTATGCCACTAAAGAGCTGTTTCTAAAATCCCTCCATTACTCCTGCCTCCCCACCAAACTGCAGGCGGGGGCAGTATCTCAGTCTGCAGCTCTAAATGTTTTAGGGCATGAGCAATTATAGTACAGTGGGCAGGGAAGCATGATTAAATTTAAAGCTGCTACCTCCAGTAAGCAAAAAAAAAAAAAAAAAAAAAAAAAAAAAAAAAAAAAAAACAACAAAAAAAAAAAATTATCATTTTCCCAAGCAAAAAAAAAAAAAAAAGCAACCAATACAAGTAACATTTCACTCTTCTCCAGAGGAAAATATATGTCTGTAATTATTGCAGTGCTGCTTCCCATTCGGCCATATCAGACTTCAGGAATTTAGCTTTTCCAGACCTTCTTCCCCCCAATAGCTTTGAGTCACAGGCTAAGCTATCATTTGTCAGTGTCTGGAGCAAGTGACAAGTGTAGGTAACATTGCTGAATGCAGAGCAGCAGAGTTTGTTGACGGGCTAAGAGGAATTTCAAGACTGAGCTGATGATAGAACTAACTTGCCTTCCCTGGGATAGGGAAAAATGGGTTGGAGGAAAGAAAGAAAGAAAAAAAATCCAAGTTTCACTCCAGTACATATGTTGGCTGAACATTAAGATCCACAAATCATAACTTTATCAGCTACACAAACTGAGACATCCAGTGGCAGGGCACAACCTCAATTTTCAAAAGAGACACTGAAGAATTGAGACTGTAGCGAGTCCCAGGTGGCAGAACAAAAGCAGATCATGTTAAGAACTACTGCATGAGGAGCAGTCCATGCCAAGCTGTATTAAACAGCCTTGAGAGCTGATTCAGTGTGGGATACACAGCATAGGAGGAAAAGTTCCTCATCAAGTTTCTGCTGTAAAAGGCAACTCTTTCAACTACACTGGCAGCTAATTCCCAAGTCCAGAAACTGAGTTCAAAGCTCAGGCAGAGCAAGAGCCTGGAAATTCTATAGCAATAACAGCAAGTGTTTCCATGGCTATCTTCCTACAATGGCAATAACTGGAAAAATGGGGACCCATACCCTTCATTTTGCTTACTGTGCGACTCAACAGTAATTCCCAAATCACAGTATGTGGCTTTCCTGTGTCCCCTCTCTGCATCTCATCGGCTGTCTATTCAGCATAGAAATCCTAGTTTGAACTGTACATTTAATTTGGACTTGGACATATATTTCCTAGCTAACTTTTCAGATGCAAAACAATGCACATACGCAAAGGAACTCAGTGGCTATAAATTCTTTTACACTAACTTAAATCTAATATCCGGACTTTAAACTCCTTGACTAGCCAACTTTTTTGATCCAGTCTTAAGATATCTGCAATTTATTCAGCAAGGAGAAACAAGGCTAGAATATGATTAACTTCCTCACTAGTAACAAGACAAAACTGCCAATTTGAGAAAAATGCTCCAGGAACAGCACAAAAAAACACAAGTCAATAGACCTTACCTCTTTATGACCTTTCAGGGATACCATTAAAAAGCTCAACTAATTCTGGTGTTCATTTGTTAAGATGATAGGAAATGGCAGGGAGAAGAACAGCAAGAAAGTAGCGCTGTCTTCAGAACTTCAGACTTCTTCAGTCTCATGAAAACTACTTCTTGATTTTGAAACTTTTTTGAAATGAGACTGTCTTCAGAACTTCAGAATTCTTCAGTCTCATGAAAACTACTTGATTTTGAAACTTTTTTGAAATGAGAGATTCTACTATTCCTTGGAGATCTTTTCTTATCCCTTTATCTTTTCATATTGTATTTTGGAACTGATTTTTAAAAATCATACCAACCAGTTCTTCAATATAACTGTGGAAATCGCAAATCTGTAAATTAGTTATTCAGACCTTTTGCTTCAGCATGTAGACCAGAAGAACTCCCTATTCAGAGGGATATTTGTGCCAACCGTACAGCAGCTGCCCTTCCAGGCTGAATCAATATCGAAGCTGCCTCAACATTTTAGCTGTCTCACCCACTCAATTCTTAAGCCTCACGGATTCTCTCCATGAGTAAACCTGTCACAGACCTTCCTAACTATTACAATGAAGGTTACAGTAATCTTTGCAAGTGATTTTTCTTGCTTGTAAGTATTTGAATAAAATATTGAACCTTCTGGAATGGAAATGCAGGATTTATTGTGAACCTGGGCTGGTTAGGAGTGGAAAGTGGCTTAAAGAAAGGGTTTAGGAGCCCCAATCAATGAAGTTAATTGGACAAGTAGCAGGGGAAGCTTTCCTTTGCAGAAGCGACAGTCACATCAGGAAGCTATCACACTGTCATGCTGGCCACTGCAAGAGCTGAACTTCCAGTTCAACAGAAGATTAAGGGAAAGCAGAACAGTGTTACTCATTTCTGCTTCTACAGTACCTGTTTGTGATAACATTAAATCATTTAATGTTGTTGGTTTTGACTATCCAGTGCAGTTCCAGAAAGGAGAGTCTGGAATTTAACTGCAGGTTAAAGTTTAGTTCGCTGCTTCCTCCCCGAGTTTGGCTGATGTCCACTAAACATGTGCCATGATCTGCCTTGTAATAACCTCCCTAAACCTACAGCAACCCTTGCGGTCACTCCTCCCTCCCCAAAAGTCTGCCCCAAGAGCCACGAGATCTCATCCTGACCCTATCAAGCCTATTCTTTGTCAGAGTCCATCACCTCCCATGCACTTTCAAGCTCACAGCAACTCCACAAACCCGAACAGCATCTCCCACAAAATACACACTCTCTAGGGATACAAAGACTCTCCCATTAACAGGACTACAACCATCGTGCCGATGGCACGAATATCTGGGGCCCTGCTCCCTCCGTCCTCACCTCCGACATCCGTCTTCCTCAAACAACCTCAGGCTCTTTAGTCACGCCAAATCTTTGCTGCACATCCTGAAGCTCCAGTGCTCATGACAGTAAGTCACTGACTGCACAGTTGTGGCCTACACCAAGATAACCTTCATTTACAATTTCTTCCTGCCTGCCAACATGTAAGAGTTTTATAAGAAAAAAAAAAATCCACTATCATCAACCACATGAAGAGAAGAAGAGGAGATAGGGCAAGAGTTTTAGAACAGCAGCAGACTTCTGTTGAAGCAATTATTTTTCAAACTGAGAGTTTAATTAGCTGTAGAATCATCTTACCCTCACAGTACTCCTTTTTAAATACAGCAGAGCATGACTTCCTGTATCAGCAAATATCCATTTTGAAAACATATCTGAAAAATCCACCTCCCAA